AGGCCGTGATGCTGTAGGTATCGAAGAACTCGGAATCACCGGTGATGGCCTTGCAGTCGCCCCAGGGCGGGGGCAGGTAGATAAGCTGGGGGTCAAGAACAGGAGGCATGAGGACAGGAGCAGCACCCCGGGAGCAAGCAAAGAGCCCGCCCGCCACAGGTCTTTGGGCCTGAGGAAACCCCACGGCAGGTCGCTGCCTTCACTGGCTGGACGAGGACACTGAGGCTGCACGGGGGGGCAGCAGCAAGCCTGGGCTACCACCTGGGAGTCCTGGCCCTCAGCCCTACTCCAGTGACTAGACCCAGAGGCTGTTTCTGGCCCCAGAATCACGGTATAATCCCGCCGGGCTCCAGCTGTGCTGCAGGACTTTCCTCCTCCCCAGGCCATACACAGCGTGGGGGGTGGTTTCTGCTCTGCAAAGAGCGGGCAAACGCAGATCAGGGGCTGCCAGGGCAGCACCCGCCCAGGACCGGCCATGCCCCTCACCCGCTGCTCCTGGCAGGACACAAAGGTCTGAAATCCTGGTGCGACCCCAAACCCCAGCTGGTCGATTAAGGGCGGCTCATCCTGGCTGTGGATTTGCACTTTGATCCCAGCTTCGAAGGAGGTCTCATCTGCGAGAAACAGAAAGGCAGGACACAGGTGTGCGGCACTCCCCACAGTGACAGCGCAGCCATGCCCTGGGCTCTCACGTTTCTCCTGCCCGGTCTCCCACGCTCCTCTCCCCGGTCAGGGCCGCGTGCCCAGGGACCCCCATGCCAAGGAGACTGCAGCGCCAGGCTTGTCCAGGCAAGGGACGCGCAGTGCAAAGGGGCGAGGGGGGTGCTGGCCCGCACACCCATCCCCACGCCATGGGCTTGAGCGCAATTGCTTGGGCTGCCGTCCCCTGGGACTGCAGCACTGGAAGTGGCTGGCACGATCCACAGACAAGTGATGGCTGCTTCATTTGCATGGGTAGGCAGTTGCCATGGCAAATAATTGAGGTAGGAAAAGAAGGAAGGGAAAAAGAGGCTGACAAAGAGGTGGGGAGGGGTTGAGAAGATGGGGGGCTATGGGAAGGGGACACTTCTCCAGACAACTGCCCCTGCCCCAACTGGGGCTTGCGCTGCCCCGGGCAGGCGGCTGGCACGCATCGCGGGGGGCAGGGGGCTCCTGGGTGGCTCCGGGGGCTTTGCGAGCACCTGCCCTGGGGCCTGTTACCTGTCTCGCCCCAGATGGGCAGGTACTCGTCCTGCTGGATGTCCAGCATGATCTCCAGGCCATTGCCGGTGCCGCCCTTCACGGTGATGAGGGGGGACTTCCCGTCCTGCCCCGCGTTGAAGGTGTAGCACTTCCCGTAGCGCGTGAAGACCTGTGGCGGGGGACACAGGGGGGGACAGTCAGAGCCACGGCTGAGCCCGCAGGCCGTGCCCTCCCGCAGGGCTGGCTCTCCAGGCCTCGGCGCGGCGCGGCCTGTCACAAAATTCGCGGCACGTGGGGCCGACCCCAGGGATCCATCTGTGCTGGAAACGGTCTCGCAGCGCAGTAACCGTGGCAACCGCCCCGCAGCCCCGCGCAAGAGGACTGGAAATGGAAATACAGCACCAGCCGAAAGCCCGGGCTGCCTGCGGGACAGGACGGCGCTGGGTCCCTCGCCCTGGGGAGGGCAGGCCACCAGCTCCTAGTCACATTGCACTTGTTCACGTTTCCTTTGCAGATGCTCCGCAAACGGGCTCCATTATGGGCACCAGCACACAATTAACATAACGAGGAAGACGGGGAATGTGATGAGACTGCGGATCCTGCCTCTCATCTAGGGAAGCAAGAGCAGCTGGGAAACGCTTGCTCACAGCCCCTCCTCCCTGGCCAGCCTCCATTGCTCGAGGTGGGGACCGGCGATGGGGGAGGTGGGGGCTCGCACCTGGGCACCAAGCGCCAGAGCCGGGCCTCGGCCCTGTCTGCTAAACCACCAAGCTGGAAACAGAGCCAGGGGGCCGCAGCTTCCAGCCCCCCGCTCCTTCCCAGCAGTGCAGCACCACAGGCTCGCTTCGCTGTCCCTGGAGCCGCAGGCCTCGCGCTCCAGACCCCCCCGTCCCCGAGCTCCAGAGCTGCCAGGGCTCAGCTGTGCCAAAACAGCCTGGGCTGGATGCCAGGCAGCCCATCTTCGGGGAGGAGCGGTGCCAGCCCTCCAACCAGGCAGGGGTTTTTCCTGCCCCTGGTGCCCAGCACCTGCTTCTGGCCCCCTGCTCCCAGGAGCCCTCCTCGCCCTTCCTGCTCCCTCCATGACTCCGATCCGCGCGCCGGCACTGGCCAGGACGTTGCTGAGCAGGGCACGTGTGGCTCAGCCGGCGTGCCACTGCCCTGCGAGGGGCGCCGGAGATGGCACGGAAACCCAAACCTGGACCGGTCTGGCCCTGGTGGCTTGAACCGCACGGGGCCACCCAGGCCAAGTGTCCCTGGCCCTCGCGTCGGCGGTCCCAGGGCAGCAGGGTGGCTGTCGTCGAGCGCAGGGGGTGCCGTGATGGCCAAGACCAGCACTCCCGTCTGCCTGTTCAGAGGAGCACTTGCCCGGTGCAGGTGCCAGCATTCAGGAGGCACCTCCTGCTCTCTCCCTTGGCCCATTTCCCCCCCGCCATAGCCAGACCCAGCAGCGCTGCAAGGGACCGAGTCACCCACTCGACTGTTCAGGCGCAAGAGGGGCCTGGGCGCAGCCCCTGCGCTGCCAGTTGGGAGCGCAGCCGAGTGCCGCGCGCCGGCATTTGGCGTCCCTTGGCCCTCCGCGCATCCCCGTGAGCTGCTCCCGCAAGGCGCTGAGGTCAGGGCACGCAGCCCCCTGCGTGTGAACCAGGTGAGTCCCAGAGACGCTTCCCTCGGCCCCGCTGCCCCCACGCTAGCCCAGCAGGGCAGGCCGGCGGTGCTGGCAACCGCAGATGCTCTCACACACCCTCAAAGGTAAAAGAAACTGCTTTTGCAAAGTCTTGAGCCCCAGAGAAGCCCTCACCGGCAGAGGCCACCTTGCTCCTCCGGTCTCAGCCAGGTGTCCCGTTTCCCAGCCTGCTCCATTTGGCCTCCCTCCAGCTCCCGACTGCCAGGTCCATGCACACTCCTCCCCCCCGCTGGCGTACACGGCGCGCTGGCATCTCCCTGGCCTCCTCTGGCTGAGACCGTCCGCCCCGGCCCTCCCTCCTACGGGCCGGCGGGTCTTCAGCCAGCCCCGTCACCGCCCCGGACTCACGGTGGTGAAGTTGTGGGGCCCGCAGCGCTCGCCCCGGAAGCGACAGGAAAGCAGCATCTCCTCGAGCTGGTGGCCCAGCCGGTCCAGGAGGTGGAGGGTGTTGTGGCCCTGCGGCGGGGGCGGCAGGTAGTGGGAGAAGTCCAGCAGCTTCTCCAGCCAGCGCCAGCGCTCGTCGCGCAGCAGCTCGCGCGCCGCTGGCTCCGGCCGCAGCCGCTGGGTGAGCAGCCCCAGCCAGTAGCCGGCCAGGTGCAGGTCAGCGCGGCCCATGCGGCGCAGCAGCAGCAGGTTGTTGTTGCAGATGGTGACGGCTGGGAAGGTGAGGTTGCGGGCGTAGGCCACGTGCACCTTGGTGTGCACAGGCGAGGACAGCAGGTAGCGGATGCGGTTGGACGACCAGGTGAGCAGCAGGGCCAGCGAGGCCAGCACGGCCAGCGCCCAAAAGGCCCGGCGTGGGCAGGACAGCCGCCCCGAGAAGACGTAGCGCAGCCCGTGGAACTTGGTCTGCTCCAGGAGGAAGGCGGCAACGTCCTGCAGGGAGCCCCGGTCCCTGCCCGCTGGCTCCATGTTGCGCCGGGCCCAGCCTGGCTCCCACCCCTCTTGGGGCCGGGCAACCCTCTCGGGCAGCGGTGGGAACATGGTGGCAGGAGGCAGAGAGTTAGGGGCAAGGAGCCTGCACCCAGAGCAGGATCTCCCTCCCTGCCTCTACTCGCCGTGGCTCTGCCTTCCCAGCATCGCCAGCTCCCTCCCCAGATGGCTCACGGCTCCGCTCCCACGCAGAGCGCTGGCAGGGCCCCTGGAGCAGACGGTCTGGAGGCAGCTCCAGCTCCCTGGAGCCTTGCTCCCATGCCGTTCCTGCCACTCCTGAGCAGCCTCCTGTCCCTTTCTCTGGGCGAGAGGATGCTCAATCCTGCCTGCAGCCTCCTCAGGCAGCAGCTTCCAGCACAACGCCTTGGTGACTGGGGAACTGTCTCCCTCTGGCAGCCGCTGCCAGTGACTGCAGCTCCCCTTGCCTCCGTGCACCCAGCATGGCAGGGTGGGACTGCAGCGGTTTGCTGCTTTGTCTTGGGATACGGCATGCGTGGCCTGGGAGAAGAGGGCTTCATCGAGAGCGTGCAAACTGCAGCCCACCCAGAGATGTGGCTGCAGGCGTGTGTGCACGGACCGGGCTGCAGCCAGGGTGGGGGAGACAAGCCCGCAGGCACTGCCTGCATCCGAGGCAAATGGCTTCACATTGACCACCTAGCAAGTGCCCCCCGTGGTCCCTGGTGGCTGCAGGGTGCCCTCCTGAGGCCTCAGCTGGGGACCCGCTGCACCAGGCCTGTCCTGGTTTGTGAGCACAGCGTCGGCTTGCAGCAGCCCCATGGTGGTGCAAGGAGGCTGCGGCCCTGCTGGAGCCGGGGCTCTGGCGGGCAGGAATGGCGCAGTCCCTGTGGGATGCAGGGCAGCAGCAGAGCCCAGGCCTCAGCGGCTGCCTAGGGACTGCAGCGGTGGTGGGGGCAGGAGGAACGGGGCAGCCTCCCCTCCGGAGCCTGGTGTCCTCAGCCTGCGGCCGGGGCTCAGGGCCCTGCAGCACCCTCGCTCCCTCCTCTGCCCCCGCCTCCACCTGTCCCCCCCTTGCCCAGCACTGGACCCCTCCCAGGACACTGGGCCCCCTGCAGGGACCCTCCTGCTGGGGGGGCTCTGCTGACCCTCTCCAGCCCTGGTCTGTGCAGGGCAGCGCTGCTGCCCACAGCGAGTGTCTGCAGCTCCAGCATGGCCAAGAGCTAGAGCTGCCTCTTGGGACCAGAAGGGTTTGGCTCTGCCCTCCCTTTCCAGGCTCCATCAGGAGGTCCCACAAGGGCATCCTGCGAGCCGGGACTCAAGGACTCCTCCTGGCGTCCAGCGGCCAGCTGCGGGGTTTTCCTCAGAGACAGCCGGTTGTGGCACTGCAGCCCCCAGCCTGTCTGTACCTCCTGGGCCGGATGGCACTTGGAGCAGGACAGGCCTGCCTGCACCAGCAAGGAGTCCTCCAAGCCTGTCCTCAGGTGCTGGGGAGATGCTCAGGGTGCTAATGGAGGCTCCAGAGCCAGCAGGGATCTGCTGCGAGACCATGGGCTGCTGTGCTGGAGCAGGGCAATGCTTGCCACAGCCTGACACGTCTCATATTCAGCTCTGGAGAAGGGGATGCCAAGGAGTCACCTGTCTTCTGTCCCCAGCCACCCCCACCCCGCCAGCAGGCTCCTCTCCTGGCATCCAACGCAGCCCCCGTGCCAGGCGGCAGGACCAAGCAGACAAAACGGTAACCCCCAGAGTCACGGCACCCAGCGGGCATGCTGCTGCCACCCGGCAGGTCCCTGTGTCTCGGTGTCTGCTTTTCCTGTCTGTCCATCTGATAGCGAGAGACTCCTAGTGTGCCCACCCCTGGGCCCCGGTGGGGCAGGATGGCCAGGGAAGCACACGACGGGAGCCCACACCCAGCCCTAAGGAGGCCGGCTGGTAGCACAGGACATCTGCCTTCCAGCAACCCGCCGCACAAAGCACCCCCCAGCGCCAGCCTCCCTGCAGCCTCCTAAAGAGGTCAGGTAAGAAGCATCCGCTGGGTTTCGTGTCGACACGCTCGTGAAACCTCCCACTCTCGTTCCAGTCCCTGCTCCCCGCGCAGTCGGCCGCGTGCCCCACGGCTCCAAGGACGATCGTTCCTGCAGCCCGGGTTTCCCGGCTCCCGGCTCCTCCGGGGGCACGGAGATTAGGCCTATAGGGCCACAGCACAACCCGGCTAGCTCAGCCAGCCCTGGCATCCCACAGCTACAGCCCCCCGCTCCCAGCCTCCTCGTAGTGGGACTGACAACCCCGGCTGTCCCCAAAGCACCCCCACCCGTGTGACTTCTGAACAAGCGTATCTGTGTCGTCCTCTCCCCTCCAGCGCTGACCTTGCCCTGGTGAGAGAAGCCTCTGGGGCCGAGCTATCAACCAGCGATCGGGTGTCTCCTTGGCCCGTGGAAGGAGAGCACCCAGGCGCACGCAGCGTGCGGGAGCTGGGCATGTGAGATATTGCTTGGTAAATGTGAGCTGGGAGGGAGGCAAAGACATTTTCCAAGACCTTCCAGACCCCCAAGCGGGAGGCTCCTTGCCAGGGCCGGGACAAGGACCTGGATGGACCTCTGGGAAGAAGGAGGAGCGCAGGAAGAGAAGTGAGGACCAGAAGAGCAGAGCCAAGGCCCTTGAGCGCTGCGCCAGGCTGCCCAGGACTCCCCTGCTTACCATCCCTGAAAGCAGCCCCCGCTTTTGGGCTCAGGGTTGCAAAATGCTGTCGTCTTGCCTGGGGCAGACACAGTGTCCTGAGGCTGGTCCTTCTACACTGGCCCTTGGGTAACCCCTCACAAAGCACAGGCTCCCAGCTTAGCAGCCCGGCCCCCTGCCTGGCATCGGCACCTCCCTTAGGTGGGCCGGGCTTGGTGCTCCCCACCACTGGCACCCGCAAGCAGGACCAGCATGTCCACAAGTGGATGCCTCCCTCCCCTGCAAACTTGTGACACCAGGTGCCCTGCCTTGGCCTGCTCCTCCTCCTCCTCCTGCCCTCGCCCTGGCTCCCCAAGCCCTTCTACTGGCAGTTCAGGTCAGTGTGAGCCCCGGGCACCCGTGGAGCATTTTAATTGCAGCAAGCGGCGTGTTTCCCACAAGGAAGCCAGGAGGCCTGGCTGGCGCTAAAAATGGAGCTAGGAGGTGCTGGGAGAGACCAGTCTGATCCGCTGCGCTTGGGTGTCAGAGCTGAGCGCTAGCGACTCGTCGCAGCAGTCAGAGCCTGCGCGCCGAGGCAGACGGCCTCCTCGCTTCGGGGCAAGAGGGCAAATGGCGATGAAGCTGCAGCAGTTTTGCCTGGAAGAAGGGCGCCCGGCAAAGGGGCTGTCAGGGTCCTCAAGGAAGCAGGGAGTGATGTACGGGGTCAAAGCGCCACCGTAGACCAGATTTGCTGTGGCAGTGCCAGGTCCCCGCTGGTGGAAACACCCCACATAGGGCATCTGCTCCCCATAAGGACAGCCCGGGGCCCCGACTGCAGCCCTACAAGCACCGCTCAGCCTCCCCCGATGCCACAGTCCCGCCGAGCCCCAATGTCACACCTTCCTGTTCCTCCCACGCAGGCATCGGAGGGCACCCATCACTGTGCAGCCCTCACTGTGCCTGCACAGCAGAGTGAAACGGGCCTGCGAGGACAGGGCCTAAGACGGAGACGCGCTCCCAGCTATCTGCCACGGAGGGGGACAGCTGAAGCGGGCTTTACTCACCACGGAGAAGTCCTCCAAGCTGCACTCGATGCCCCGGTAGCTGCAGCTCAGCAGCATGTCCTCCAGCTGGTGGCTGGTGCGGCTGTAGAAGGCGCGCAGGTTCAGGGGCTCCTCAAAAGTCTCTGGGTTGGGCTGGGCCACCGGGAAGCCTGGCTCCATCCAGGTCTCGTACTCTACCAGGGGCGCGATGTACAGCAGGTCGTCCTGGCTGAGCTGCGACGTCCGGACGCGATTGACGTTGCAGAAGGTGATGGCTGGGAAGGTCATCGCGGTGCTGTCCTGCTCGTCCAGCAGCGTGACGTGGTGGTACTCCAGGTAGTAGATGATGCGGTCGGCCACCTGGTAGAGGAACATGGAAAGGGAGAGCAGGAAGGCCAGTGCCCAGAGGGCCTGCCGCACACCAAAGCCACCCTCCACGAAGATGTGGCTGACTCCATGCAGCGTGCAGCCGCTCGCGAAGGCCGCCAGGTCCGTGGCCGTTCCCCGCTCCTCCTCCTCTGCTTCCTCCTCCTCCTGACCATACAGGAACTGGTCCGCACCTTCCTCGCCTCTGCCCGTGGCCCCATTGCTCCGGTGCCCTTCCTCGCTGGAGAAGGAGATGGTGCAGAATATCTGGAGGGGCATCCTGCAGCGCCCCTCCGCCCCGCGCATTCAGCCACGGGCCGGATAGTGCCCAAGGCCTTTGCTCCAGTCCCCTGGGGTGGGTGAAGACAGAAGGGTCTGAGAGAGGCGGGAAGCACGAGAACAAGGGACGGGGAGCGACAGCCGGGGAAAGTTGAGTGAGAAAGAGCCGGTGGTGGAAGGAGAGCGACTGAGCGAGGAAATCAGAGACTGTGGGGGGAGGGTGACAGAGGGAGGAGTGGAGGGAGAGGGAGGAAAGGGGAAGAGAGAAGAGAATGAGGCCGGACTGGAGGAGTGCGGGGAAGGGGATGACGGGAGGAGGAGCCAGGGGCGGTCTGTGGGCCCTACCTGGCCCTCCTGGGACGCGGGTCTGGACCGCGGCTGGCAGGGCAGAGCAGAGATGTGTTGCTGACTCTGAAAGCTTCGCCACTTGATTTGCTAACAAGTTGGGAGCTCCTGGCCCCGGTGCTCCGCACAGTTGCCAGCTCCAGGCAATCGCACGCGCGTGTGCATGCCGAGCCGACAGCCCGGCACTGGAATTGGCCCCAGCCAGCAGGGACGGGGCCAGGGCAGGACTCGGCCCCTGCACCAGCCTGGCCGTTTCCCGAGCCCAGTGTGTCTCAGCTCCACGGGGCTATCAGGAGTCCAGAGCCAGAGGGAAAGCAGGACACGCGCTTCTCTTGCTCTGCACGGCTAACGGGCGGCACGCTTTCCCAGCTGCCTTCATGAAGCCAGAAACCCCAGGGGAGACCAGGTCCAGGATTTCCTCTAAGCCCCAGCTCCACAGCCACAGCACCGGGGTCTGGCTTCCCTCTGACAGGCTGAACGGAAACGGGGCCAGGTGGGTCAGCCTCTGGGCTGCAGGTCTGCAAGGGACTCCAGATAACTCCTTGGGGGCACAGCCTCATGGCCCATGCCCAGGCCTGGTGCTGGACATCATGCTGCTTCCAGAGGCCGCCGGGATGGGGCTGACCCCGCTCCAGCTGGCTTAGAGGGTGCTGGGCTTCTGCGCTGTGATGACACTGTGGAAGATGAACGCCCCGGTGCTTTGGCCAAATCTAGGTAACTCCACGCCCTTCTCCCTAATTGCAAGGGGATGCAGTGCTCTTCTTCATTTCCTGCTCAAAGTAATGGCAGCCTTGGGGCACGCAATGAGCTGTCGCGCTCCACTCCAGAGCTGGCTGCACCTGCGTCAGCAGTAATTCCCTGGCAATAAGCAGATCAAGGTTGCAGCTTACAGGAGCCAGGCAGATGCCCGCTGCCCCTTCAGGACACAGCTCACCCAAGATGCTGGCCTGCTGCTGGGTGGCTGGGCTGGGGTGGCGCAGGCTTGGTGCGGGGTGGCAGGAAGGGCAGCCCCAGTGGTGGGGGGGCTGTGGCCCAGCTCCTCGGCCCTCAGCCACGGTGGCAATGGTCACGTGGAGGCCGCAGCTCAGCCTCCAGCCCCAGTAGGTCAGTGATGGAGAAGCCCTTGGTGTGCAAGCTGGGGCCGTCCAGCCACACCTCCTTCTTGCTGGGTATCGCCGCCTTGCCCTTGGCCCAGCCCTCAGCACCTCCTCCAACACCAACTGGGGGCTATTTAGCCCACTGCCCCAGCCATCTGGCTCCAATCAGCTCTGTGACTACTAGCCACTGAAGTCCCCCGACAGCTGGGGGGCAGGGTGTGTGCATGTGTGTGGCACCCGCCCTGGGCGGTCACCCACACTGCCCATCTCTAAGGCCGGCTCTGAGTCAGGCAAGTGGAGAGCAGGTGGACTTCACCCGGCGTGTCCAAGGAGCGGGGAGGGAAGGCTGGAGCCAGGGCTGCGGCGCACATCCCGCAAGGAGGTGGCGTCAGGAGTCTAAGGAGCAGTGCCGGGGGAGCCGGCGCAGCCTGGCAAGGCCACGCGCTCCTTCCCCACAATCTGAAGACGACTTCGCAGAAGCAATACCCCTCCCTCCCTGCGGTTCTCTCTCATGTACTCAGCGCATTACAAAAAGCATCTGATGTGGCCACAGACTAATAACCAGGAAGCCTCCGGCACCGCAGTCGCCACTGCCTGACCTAAGGGGAGCAGAACTGTTTATGTAGGGCAACACTTTCAGGACTGAGAGCTACTCAGGAAATGGACTTTTTGGCTGATGCTAGTTCAGCATGAAGTCAATATGCCCCATCCTCTGGACTTAACTGCTTGCTTGCTGCCTCCTTTGATGGCCACATCTCATATTTAGCAGATCTCAGCACGCCTGCATGCCGGGACCCTGGCACTGGGCAAACAGCTTGTGTCTCCCAGTGGCAATGTGCAGAATCACAGGCGAGACTTACCGGCAGTTTTGGCATAACATCATGTGGGGTCTTATTTAATTTCTTTTATTTCTGAGCTTGACACCAGAAGGAGACGTGTGCTAATGAAACTGGCCAATACACCATTGGGAGACGCTGTCCATATACGGAGGGAGGGCCGGACTTTCGTACAGCAAGCACTGTGTGGCCTTTAGGGCTGGAGTACTGGAAATGCAACGGTAGTCAATAATGAAGAGGGCATGGGCCCACGGGTAGGGCTAACAACAATTTCAAACTGGAAGCTCAAATGGAGACCAAAGAGAAGGAGGAAGACATAGATATACATACGGCTGCGAGCTCCCAAAGTGATGCAGGCATGGCAAAAAGCTAACACGATCCTGAGGAAGTACCAGGCAAGGTCTTTCCCACAGAGACAGGGGAGCACAGCTGGCAAAGCCCCGGTGAGACCTGGGCACCATGGCATGACCCTGGCCCCTGCATCCACGACAGAAGAGCTCACGCTGGAAGAGGTGTGGAGAGGGGCTCCCGCGACGATCAGGGGAAGGGATGCCTGGATCCCTAGGGCGGCTGGAAGAGCTGGTGTGCTCCGTCTAGCAAAGCAAAGGCTGTGCAGGGATCTAACTGCTCATGCATTTCCTATGCACCAGGGAGGGAAAAAAGCTGTTTAAGCTAGAGGACAGTGCTGGCATGAGAACACAAGGCTGTAAATGGGCCAGGAATAAAGCTAGGTTGGCAGTGAGGAGATGGTTTCTAACCATTAGTACAGCCTCCCAGTAAGAGCAGGGGCGGGGAGAAAAACCCAACTAGTGCTAAGATGGGGCTTGAGCTGTTTATGGCAGGGATCATCTGGGTGCATCTACACAAGACTCATTAGCTGACTCATTAGCTCCGCAGTAAAGTATCACTGTCTATACATGTGACCCTGTTAGGTCGTGGTAGACCAATAAATGCCACCACATGGTAGTCCGGCTAAACATAAGTAGTACCCTGCGACAGTGTTGTTTCATGCACCACAGCGCACGTGTAGATGGTGACGAGGCTGGCTGGGGCACATGGGTACTTCAGTGTGGGGGCTGCCTGCTGGCTAGTCCCCCCCCCGCTACACATGGAGCCTGGCTGGAGCAAAGTACCATGGGATGCTCCGCAGCAGCCTCCAGAGCAGCTTGCCAGCCTGGGGACTGGGCCCCATGCGCAGTGGGGGGGCCGGCTAGGGCACGAGGGTGCAGCCTGTGCACTGAAGCACCCGTGCCCCAGACTACCGTCCCCATCCCGCTGCACATGGAGCCCAGCTAGAGCAACCCTGGGCTGGCAGGCTGACCCCCTGGGTCTCCTACCAGCCCAGGCTACTTCACTGGGGCTTCAGGTGCTCACACAAATAAACTCCAGAGCAATATGCTCCAGTGTTTTTAACTCCTGGGTGCACATTCAAACAGTGTGCCCAGGAGCCAAAAAACTTATTCGTGCACATTAATTGCATGTGTAGACGCACATCTCTGACAAGGAGCCGGGGATACTAGGCACTGCACTCTGACCCGGGCGGGTCCTTCTAGGCCCAGGCTCGCTGGAGCTGCTGGGGGCTGGCTGAGGGATCTTAGCAGGGTGGCCCTGTCCCAGCGTGCTGGACGACAGGAGCCGCAGGGCTGGACATTTGAGTGCCTGCTTTTCTAAATAACTGAAACTGGGGATCTCTGCAAAGTACTAGGGGAGGGCAATGCTATAATGAAAACACTCCATCATCGGTGGAGGCCATTAGCCTGACTTACTGCTCAGCTTAAACAACTTGCCGACCGCTGTGGTTTCCTGCTCCTGCCGTCAAAACCTGAGTGCATGCTTGGCTTGGAGGGAGGGGACGGGGCCAGGGCTGGCCTGCACCAGTCACTCTGCCCGGCCGCAGGCCTACAAGAAGCCCAACCCCGATAGTGCCCTGCGGGGTGTCTTGGAAGTGGCAGGCACCGTGCAGGGGCTCAGTCCTACTTCCCCAGTTCTTCTCTGGCTTCAGCCACCCCAGTCCCAATGGCAGCACTGGTGCCTGTGCCAGAGTGAGCACGCCCTGCTCACCTGGGCTAATGGCACTGACTGGTTTGCCCCAGAGGAGGATCTGCCTTGGCTGGCTTTCGGCTGGCTCCCTGCTCTCAGCTGGGCACTGCTGCAAGCGGGGCAGGGGCTGGCTTCAGTGACCTGCCCTCCTCCTTTGTGCCGCCCCCAGGCTCAAGTTACTGCCGGCAGTGGGAGCTGACACTCAAGCTCAGCCAGGGAGCTCTGGGGGGCACAGGCTAAGGTGACCCTGAGGAAGCTGAGCCAGCAAGAGGCAGCTCTGAAGGCAGCTTCAGCAATTAAAGAGCTCCTGGCACTAATGAGCCAGTCAGGGCAAGGCTCCAGGCAGCGCCTGTGCACCTCTGCCTAATAAGACCTGCTACTGCAGGGGGCCAGAGCTGGTGCTGAGCCCCGGAGGGACGGTCCAGTGGTGTCTCCTGCTCCCAGGTGGATCCCGGGGCTCTGAGGCTGGCCCTGAGAGGGCCCGAGCACCCCCCGCTCCCACGAGGAGTCAAAGGCAGGGGCTGGCTGGCAGGCAGGGTGGGCTACCTGAGAGGCTCGGGTTTGAGCCGTCTGCTGGAGGGCTCTCTCGGAGCTTGCTCCCTTTGAAAGAAGTGCACTTTTCTCCTCGGGTAACTGAGGCCACAGTGGGGACCAAACGCTTCTTTTTCTTTTTTTGACACAAAGCCCAAGCCCACTTGCTGGGGTCTGAAGTATGCCAGGCTGTAGCCAAGGGCTATGAAACACCACCCTACCTTGCCCACCCCAGCAACGCAGCCCTGCCATGCGCTGGCCGTGCTGCTCTGCTGGGCAAGCTGCGGCATGGGCACGTGGGGGACCCCAGGCTCTGGGACGAGGCATGGAGGGCGGGCCCGCCCCGCCTTCCCCACGAGCCTTGGGCTAAGAGCGCGAGCGCACCCCTGAACTGAGCTGGTGGAGGCCGGATCCCTGGACGCCTTCCAGCTCTTCCCTTATGAGGAGTTATTTTTACCCTCCTCCAGGTAACGCGGGTTTTTTTGTGGAAGGAGGGAAGGGGGGAGGCACTATAAATAGGCATGGAGCAGAGCCAGGGAAGCGCGCAGGGGCTGAGCAGCCAGCGCCCGCCAGCCAAGGGCCTGAGTCTGCGCTACAGAGCTGCGGAGCCAGGCCTGGGGGGGAGGAGGGGGCA